TCGCCGCCGTGCAGTGATAAGTGGATGCAAAAAAGCTTATCTCAATGCCACTTGCGTTCGAAAAGCTACTGTAAATGTTAACGATGAAGGTTATTTTTAAAACTGTATGCTGCGCGCTTAATTTATGTCGAACACAGTTATCGCTTTTGAAAGGAGGTGTTTATAATTATGTAAGACGCCATGTTAAATGTAATTACGTTTGTTGTGTATAACCGTAACGCACTAAAGACTGTAAATTAACCGTTCGAACATATACAATACACAGGTCAGTTACACGACATCGTGTACTTAGGCTTGAATTGATTTTGTTTCTTATTTATTTAGCTGTAACTTATGTAGAGTTAGTAGAGGAAGCGAATGAAATAGTGGAGTTCTTTTGAATGGAATAATTATAATACTACATTAATGTCGTATTTTAGTGAAGAAGTCAGCCGTAAAGAAGATTGGAAGAGCGGGAGTGAGGCTTTTATTAATTTTTTTTATTCATGGCATCAGAAAGCAGAATGAAAATGTATTTAAATAATATTACAAAGATATTATTAACAGTCATTTGACATTCCAAGTATGCGGCGACAGCAAGTTATATAAGAAAAACAAGCTTTTCCCAACAATGTGTAGTGATGAGTTAATAATAATACATATAAACTCTATGGTTTATTTTCCTATTAACGAATGTCGCGTCTTATTTAAACTATAACATTATGGTTAAAAATAGCCGCGTCTGTAGCAACACGAAGCAGCGAGGCGCCCCGGTCACCGTTACACGGGACAAGGACCTTAATGTTAACGCGTGTCCACAGCGGCGTATTATTATTTCCAGTTGGAAACATAAAGAAGCAGTCGCTTGCTTATACAATTTTTTTGCAGAGGTGCGAAAAAAGACAGCCGTGCGGTACAAAAAATAGACGGGCGAGTAAAATTGATATATTTATTTGTTATTGCAAGAAGTTAAGTGGTGTAACTTTTTGAATTCAATGGATTGAGTGGTTATCGTTAGAATGTTTATTAATGAATGCTTTTTTTATTTTTAAATTTATTAATACGACTTAAGAAATAATTGACATCAATTGTTCCGCTTGTTTGTCTTTAATATTCTTTTTTAAATTATTATCAAAATGAATGCTGAGAATAAAAGCTTATATTTTATTTATATTTGATAGTTTTTCATATAACAAGATAATTACATATATATACACAATTTTCAATAAATAATTGATTTCCCTTCAAATCCTCGGAAGTGTGTACGGCGTCTTATCTAAGATTCCTGGCACACTCGCTCTCAATGAAATGTGGGTCAAGTTTATTGACAAACCAGGACGTTGCCCGTGTCCTGTCTCGCTCTAGTGTAGAGCACCATCCCGCTTTCACACGGCTAAGGTTAAGGTCTTTACGTAAAGATTAACCCTTAGAGTGGGTTTTATACTGTTAATCCAACTTCAAAGATTGGAGGAAATGATTCAAAATTCTATTGGGTATTTATCACTGGACAAATATTTACTGTTTCAAATTTTAAAGGTACGTTAGGTACTTTAAAGATACATTATTTTCAAACGTCAAAGGGGCCTTTTTGGATAATAGAAAATAGGGCACTCTATCATCAACAGTTTTTCCTCATTCATTTATTATTGTTCGATGTATGAAAACAGGAATCGTGCAAAAAGTATCATTATAGTAATGTAAAAAAGTTCATAACACCCACTTATAATTATCAAAACAAAAAAACAAGCTTTTCTTATTATTTTGCGTGATAGAAGAAAAAGACGATAAACACTTTCAGGATGACAATTTTCATGAGGATGATGAACTTCAAAAGCCTCTATCAATTTTCGCCATTTTCTGAGATCGGTATGTAGTAGCACGAATTGCAAATTAATATCGTTTTCAAACAATGTAATAAAAAAATTATTTGCTTTAAATTTAATAGGTGATAAGTATCTAAAGTAGAAAAAAAACGTATCAAGGGTTATGCATAGGGACATATTTAAAAAAAAAACCTTTCTCAGGAGGTTATTTTGGACCCCATCATTACCTTGTCCCCCAACAATGTTAGGGTAAACATCCCTTTTATTAACACCGCCCTTAAATCCGGAAACGGCCGGAAATCGTTCTAATAAACGGATGTAATATCACATGTGTAGTAACTCTACACCACTTCGCTCACTAGGTTAATAGTTCCAAATGATTTGGGTGTTTAGGGATCGAGTTAACTAGGTATATACGAGTACGTCCAATATCAAATACTGAAGGGACTTCTATCTTATCAGAGACTTCTTAGTTATAATTAACATAATTAACTTATGTTTATTAACTTACATACCTAAGATTTATATTTGTACATTATTGTTAATATTACTAAATAAACATTCAATAAACAAAAAAAATTTCATTAACATCGAAATTGTACTGTAAGGGTCGGCAATTTTAATGTTTATTTGCTTTATAAATCATAGTATAAATATAACACACATTAATACTAATTTTAAAATGAAACATGCATGTTTATTGTTTTAATTAGTTTTTATCAGTAAGCTAGCTACGTAAAAAATATACATTAGCTTCTTACACACTGTATCTGGTATCAGCAAGGATACAATTGTGAATAGAAATTACATGCAGCAACATCAGATATTAAACAAAAAGTCTGGTGAAAACACACGCTGCACATGTGCTGCCAAACAATAAGACTCCTTAGCACATGTGTTTCCAAAAACTTCGACTTACAATCGTGAAGACTTTCCCATCGCGTGAGGCTTTCTCTCCTCTATAAAGGCCTGCGACAGATGTCCCGCCAACCCTTCAATCAGTCAATATTTGAATTCGAACTCGGGTCGTCAGGTAGGAATTGGGGAAAAAAGGGAACATGTGTTCCCCTGTGGGAATCAGAAGCGTACCTGCTAAGACGGTGTAATTACTACTTGCGATGTACATTATTTTTGCATCCTTAATGAGATTATTATTTAATTTAATAACTTTATAATGAGGTCATTGCAATCAGTTTGCCAATTGCATGTGCAAATAATATGAAATTTAAATTTTTACACACGTGTGATTTACCGTAATTCAAATTACTCGTATTTGAAAATTAATATACTGTCCCGGTTAAATGATTTTGGCAGAGGAAAATCCCTGACTCTCTGCTTAGGAGCAACTTTTTACGTAATTACAAAATTTTAACGATAATTTGGACTTTGGACACACTTTGGACTAGAAAAAGACATCAACGGGATCATTAGGATTTTCACACCTATCAACTTTTAAATGAACCACAGAAGACTTTAAAGTGATTAATATTACTGATTATATATACGTTACTAAAAGTTGGGAAAGTGAGAACAGATCTATAAAGCGTAGTATACGCACATACATCCTGTGTGTTTCATATCCGCTAGCAATAAACATTCCTAAGATGTAGTCAATAAAACTAGTAATTATTATTTTAAAGGCAATCCATGATAATAATATCGATGACAGTAGGGTGGTCCTGTGATAGGGCTACACAGCACGCTCTTGCACGCTCTTGCACGAATGGGCAGGTCTGTCCGGGAAAGTACACAGAAGAGCGATTTAATGTGGAAGTGTTATACCTCTGCATTTCATCTGGTGAGTGAGGTAGCTGGGGCCTAATTTCGTAAAAGGTGGCAACGCATCTGTAACCCTATGGGTGTTGCAGATGTCAAAGAGCGGCGGTTATCACTTAACATCAGGTGAACCGTCATCTCGCTTACCACCTTCTAACATATAACTAAATTATTATGAACTTAATAAGAGTTTAACTCAGTTAATATGTGCACGACGTACATGTATATACATATATAGTATATGGTTTATATTTAAAAAGCGTCTTCGTTGAGAATTGAGTGGTAGGTGAATAAAAGGTGCAGCCTCCGGTTGGCAGTGGACGCTGGGCGTCAGCTTTCTCTCGACGCCAACCGGGTACGATGCTATGCGGCCGCGTATGACTCTACTTATATGGCGATGCGAATTCTAGTTCACTGGTATATTAAAAGTTAGTCGCGGGAACGGACGAATTCACTTTGGGTCGATTAATTTGCTTACAATTTAATAATTAAAGAGCGATTAAAGGTTGACTATAAATTATTTTCATAAAAATTAGAATTAGAATTTTGAATCACACAAAATAATTTAGTCGTAAATATATTAACGGTGTTTTGAGTAACACTTCGCTGAACTTTTGTAATGAACACAAGTCATAATTATATGTAGCAAAAACATATATATGCCAGAAAGGTCGCACACAACAAATCGATAATTGAGGTGGCGAGCCGATAGTGACCTTTTTAATATATGGAACTAAATATTTTCTAGAACAATTTGACGGTAGAGACGCCTATTTTGTATTGGTCTTATGATATGTAATGAAAATGCCGATATGAATGATATGTAATGAAATGTAATGAAACTACCTTCGTGTATATTAAGTGTTGTACGTACTCCCAAATAAATTATTTTCAAATATGATTGTTTCGATTTCTTTCGATTCGTTTCACAGATAGTTGTTTCGCATCTGGGTGTTTGTCCACGTGAAATTTATGTTTGTAAAAAGTCCTTACAACACAGGATAGTGTTACCCTAAAGTAAGGGCAGTGTTTTTTTAAAAAAAGAATGAAAAAAAAAAGAATGATACAATTGAAAACTTGCAAGTAAAGCCTTAACAAACTATACCTAGAATACTCGTTGGTTTTCACGAAACTACTCCTTCGACTCTCACGATCCGGCTTAGAAAGTAGAATTGAGAGATTCCTTCACTCTTCACAGAGCTCTACAGAAACTAGCCTGATGCTCAGGAGATATGACGGGGACGCCGCTTGAGTTTCAAGCGCTACTGCAAGTGTAACAGCGTCGACTGATTCGTATTCGAGCACGGCCCCGGCTAAACTTGACTGGCCTACAATGCCCGCGATAAATTTCGCGCGCAACGGTCCTCAAATATAAATCAGCGGGGTGCGGCGCCGCGGACGGAATCGCTAACGTCGCGGCCAATGGCCAGCGGGGAGAAAGCGCCGCGTTGCGATCAGCTGATCGGTTTGTGCACTTTGTATTTGCCGTTTGAGTGGCGGCGAAAGAATTTCTCCCAAAACAAACCTGAAGGTTTTATCCATACTGTAAGGAAATCTTATGAACTAGCAACAGATGGTCAATAATCTGTTGCCATATTTTAGTTTATGAGTCAAATACAAATATGCAAATATTACAAATAGCAAATAATACAAATATGAAATAAAATGTAAATAATGAAACAACTGAGCTGGCTGAAGTTTACCACTTAGTATAGAAAATTATTTCAAACAAATCAAACTAATAACTTACACTGTAGTAAATGGGAAAGATAAATAAAAAAAGTCAAAAATTACTCAGTTTCAATCTTAAGGTAAGGTATGTATTTTATTTTTTTCTTTAGTTAATTATAAAATTATGTACCAAATTCACAAAAAGTAAGAATGTATGTTCAATTCAATGTCACGATGTGATAAATTCATATTAAGTTCTTGCTTAACACTTAAAAAGATGAAGACTGAATGAATCATTCTTTTAACCTAAATTAGTCAATATTGTGAATAGTAAATGTTAGCCGATATTTTGTTGGAAATCCCAAATATTGTTCAATCTTTGAATGAATAATACGCTATCGTGTCTTAATACGAACTTGACACAGTGGTTTTGAATAACCCGAGTACAAAACGTAACATTCACTTAAATAATTAGGTGATGTTACATTGGGGTCGTTTGTTTATAACGAATTCTGAATAAAGAAAATTCTTATTTAAAAAATTCATCAATTAAACTGTAAGTTTAACTAAACTGTAGTGAATTAAACATTGTTTTCCCATAATTGAGATTGTTAACAGGCCAAGATTTACTAACCTTGCCTCGTTTCGCATTTTACTTAATTTTGCTTTCTCTACGATTTATTTTCCGCAATTTATTGTAGAGCCTCTACGACTTATCAGAGACTAAGTCTATCCACCTGAAATTTTCCTGAAACGCGCACCGCACATAGTTCTTTTTTCAGCGCGAAGGCATCAACCGAGGCTTAGAGAAACCGCCACCGGTGCACTTGACACCGAGCACGGCTGCATGGTCATTGCCGCGACGCGAGCGCGCATCTCAGGCGCGCGAGTGAAAGTCGAACCGCCTCCCCCCGCGCCCGCCCACCGCCCCGCAGCGGCCCGCACTATATGTGTCACTAGTAGACCTGGCTAGATCCACTGGCATGTTTTCTAGCTCGGCTACGTGACATGCTATTGGCGTTGTAGCTCCTCGAACTCTACTATCTCTACATCTTATAGTCATCACGAGCCATGTTCTAACTTAATGACTTTTTATATTGATCAGGTAAGTGCCATATGTTGTACGGGTATATAGATGGATATGTCATAAATTATAATGTTACTTCAAATGAAACATGAATGATTTAGAATTTAGCGTGGAGTCTTTTTTTTGTATCAGCCATTGTTGTTAGGTATGTATGCATGTTTCATTTTAAGCAGTTTCGTGATTTATTTTAACGTGATTTCGGCAATAGCAAGTTGTTATAAAAAGGATGTATGTTATATTAGAGGATACGAAGAAAGTGATTTGAAACAGAAGCAATAATTTTTAGTGTATCTGCGATTGAAGGAAATTAATAAATTCTCGGAACACTAATAAAAGCAATTATTTAAAACGCATTAGGATCATTCATTTGTTTTAATTAAATAATAATTTAAATAAGGATGTGTCACTAATTACATAGAGTGAATGGTCTACTCAATTCACTTTTGTGATGAGTGACAATTTCTAGCAAATTGTTAAGAAATATTCCAGCACAGGGTCGTCTATAACGTTCTGTCACCTCATGTCTTAATTTACCTGAAGTCAAGTGATACATACATCCTTCATCTAGCTCCGCCTAACTATCGGTAAGTAGGTTCGATGACTGAGTCACTTCGCAAACTTGCGGTGAAGCAACTGGGTAGGCGTTAAAAGGAAATATGTTTATTTGACTTCAATTGTATTGGTGAATCTATTGGTGTTTACTTAACATTTTGCTGAATATTGTATTATGGACATTGATTTTATTTATATAAAATAGGAAAGTAAAAAAGGTTGTATTTTTCTGTGTATTACAGTTCATTGTTAATTTATTTTAATTGTTAATGATTGTTATTCAGATTATTGTTAAGAGATTATTGAATAAATTATTCAAAAATATTCACTAAATTATTTTTTTAACTTGAATATAAAATATTGATTTAAAGACATAAAATTATTAATATTCTACTAAATTTATGTGTGACTGTGTATAAAAATAAACTACCTACTCAATAAACTGGGGAATCCTGAATCAGTCCATATAATTTCAATTTATTGAGCATGCAATTCTCTAGAAATGTATTACTTTGTCACATAATCAACAAAATCTAAATCTAGAAAACAAATGAATGCTCCCTTGCACACAAAACACTAGGGAGTCATTAAGATTTATATATTAAGTCTTAAAAAGTAATGAATTACCTGCTTTACATCTGTTATGGCGTAAATTTTATTAATTTACTACCGATAGCCGTGATAGCTCAGTGTCCGGGCGCTCGCCTTAATTCAATGTACTCGAGCAACCTGAGTTCGATCCCCGGTGCCGGCACCAATGAAGTTTTTAACTTTAAGTGCTGACTTATCACGTGCTCCGCGGTGAAGGAAAACATCGTGAGGAAACCTGCATATTTTCGAAATAATAACAAAAAAAAAATATATTTCGAATATATGTGAAGTCCGCCAATCCGCAGTGGGGCCGCGTGGTGGACTATGCCCTGATACCCTCTGTATAGAGGAGGCCTTTGCCCAGCAGTGGGACATGTATAGGCTGTTACTTTTTACTACTACCGATGACAATCTATGAATCATTCGCTTTATCTATATATATAACAATGAATCCCTATTTCCCTTGGTCACGCCATCACGCGTGAACGGCGGGACCGATTTCGCTAATTCTTTTTTTATAATATTCCTTGAAGTAGGAATCGGAAGTACGGAAGATGCTTCTTACGGAGAGAAAAATTTTAAAAATTGCCTGAAAAAGTCTAAAAACAACACTTCTCTATATTCCCGTACAAAAGATTCGTAATAATACTCAAAAGTCAATTTGAACTTTAATACCATACCATAAAGTTTAAGTGTTAGCGGAAGGGTTCCGGAAAGGCAAAACAACTGACTGTGGTAAAATGTCACTTGAAATGTAAAAGTCTCTTTGCTATGCATCACTACATAGTATAAAACAAAGTCTGTCTGTCCCTATGTACGCTTAGATTTTTAAAACTACGCAACGGTTTTTTACTTGTACAATACTTTTTTTATATGTACAATACATTGCACCCATGTGAAGCCGGGGCGGGTTGCTATTACTAAATAAAAACAAGCATAAGATTATGAAAACTTATTTGTCAAGTTTATTCGCGCCAAATATCACCTTAATGTTAATAGGATTCTGCAGCTGATGTTTGACAGTAACCAATGTATCAAATATAGACTATAACATGACGAGAACCGCTAGCGATGACGTTAAATAAAAAATATAATTTAATTCTCACACGATGGGCGCACGCTATTTCTGAATTAACGATATTGCCTTAAAAGGCCTGAATTTGTTAACTGTTATTGATAATGGAAATAAATTCGCTATTAAGGGTCATAGCCGGAGGAGTAGGAGCTAATGGTGGAGAAAATTAAAAACACTAAGTTGACATTAGAAATAACAATAAACGATTGCACGGTAGAGTTCCATTGAACTCATAGCAATTTTGTAACAGCACAAAGAAGTTTAAATTTTTGGTCTTATAAAAAGTAGTTCAAACTAGTAAGATTTTATATAAAATGAAACAAACACACAAAATATCGATACAAGAAAAAATATGAACAATACAAAAATATAAGTAGTATCTTTCACTAAGCTTTATAAATTCGTATAGTATAGGCATACTTCTGCGTCTCGTCGAGTGAATGTAATAGCTGGGGCCCACTTTATTATAAGGTGGCAACATATTTGCGGGTTGCACATATGTTGCCACGGGTGTTGCAAATGTCCATGGGTGGTTATCACTTAACATCAGGTGAACCGCGAGCTTGTTTGCCACCTTCTCACACATAAAGTATATAGTATCAATTCAATACATGGAATGTGTATTTGTACTAAAACATAAATCTGGAAGGTAAAGAATTGACATGAATAAAAGTATTCTTGGCTACAGAATACTAAATAATAATTCTAGACATGACACTCTTTAGAGCTTTTAAGCGTGAAAAGACGTTCATAATGCGTAAGTAGACCGAGCATAAAGGATTCCTTGGAAATGCAAACGAAAAATGCCTGTGTACTAGTTTAAAACCAACTAGATTAATATGCATACGAATCCTTCATTATATACTAATGATTGCGTGATCTTAGATCCTTAACATATGAACTAAGTATGTAAAGTTATAAGTCATAAACTACATTCATCGATATAAGAAGAAGGTGAATTAATAACAATTTTAAGAACTAACTATTTAAAATTGAACTAACTACTTATTTTTCTGACACTGTACCGATTTATACAACACACTTGTAATTCCACATTTTCAACCTCTTATTTTTATATTATTATTTACATTAACAGTCTCATATGACTTACTATCTTAATAACCTCCTATTTTACAAAATAGACCATAGTGCTAATTTAGTCGACACTAAAACTAACTAAAATCTAATTATTGTTGTTGTAGTTAATACGTTACTTACCTGTTAAATAGTAGAAAGATGTAGAGTAGCGGAGTGGTGTGTGTCAAATCCAAATTAACATGATACACTGTGTGTGCTTGTCCGCCACAATGTGTTTTCAGACACTTCCGAGTTCAGCAAATGCCACTGCAACGTGCACGCGATAGTCCGGGTTCGATATCAGGGCAAGAAGTGTGGGGCGGGGAACAGACTAGAAACAAGAGATAGAGTCGCTGTAGACCTAGAAGGTAACTAAAGTTTATCGCCCAGTTCATCCGTATCCATATATTAATCACTAAGCCAATTGTAGAGTCAAACTTACTGTTATAATAACACTAGGTGGTTATTATTACTTTATTCGCAAGTTATTTACTAGCCATTATAGAGTACATATTTAAGTTTAAAGCAAATTACATGCCAATTTAAATACAGTGAGTATAATAAATTGACTTATAACAATATATAATAATAAATGCATATGAATTCTAATCTTAAAATACAAATTACAGGTATGCATGCCTTCTTGAATTGGCCACTAATCGTTCTTTAATCACATTTTTTTTAATAAAATATAAACGCGCTTAGTTATTTCGTTAACATTGTAGATAAAACTTCGAAACATTGCAAAGTTAGTTAATTAATTATCATAATTAACTACTGTTCTGTGTATTTAAACCAAAAAAATAAGTCCCATCATAATTTATCATAAACAGTATTTGGGACAGTAATAAAGATATTCTGAATTTATGCCGCCGCGTTACGAACTCCGTTAAAACTGTAAAAAGAACCTGTCAAGTGACCTTCGAATTATCAACCGAAAACTAAACTCTGATAGGCTCGGTTAAAAACCCAGTTTTCCGGTGTCGTTCACATCCTACTGTGATGTTTATTGTCTAAAAATATAGTGACACTACAATAGAAGAATATCACATGCAGTTAGTCAAAAAAGCCAATAATAAGAGTAAGAAAAGAAAGAAAAAAGATAGGAAAATATTTGATTGGCATGAATAAAAGGCAAACTTCAGTACAATTAAATATTCTCTCGAATATTTACAAAAAAAAGTAAGAGGACATAGACAATCGACAAAAAAAAAATAGTAGTAATAAAAACAAAACTGGCGTCCAGAGTGTGTTTCCACTGTTTAGACAATCCACGCTTCGCGTCACACGCACGTCACTTTATTAATGCCAATTACAAACATTCCCCAAAAACACTTCATTTGCTCCGATTTTTTTCGTAGCGCCGCCGGTCGGCCGGGGGGAAATTTTGAAAAACAAAAAAGAGGAATAAAAAAAAATGGAACAAAGCCGAAATGTTTCGCTCTTTTTTCTCCCGTTCCGTTTGGAAGTGCACCGTGTCCTACCGGGCGCGATCGCCGCAGTCACTTTCCGTGTGCGCTAACGCGTCTCTATGCTTGTGCGCTCCGATCACTCCACTGCACTGCACTTACGGCCGGGGGCGGGCGCGGGCCGCGCGTTCGTCGGACTGACTGGCGGCGCGGGCGCACCCCACTCACTTCGCACCGAAAATCCTCTACCACCACCGGCCCGCAGGTGCGCCAAACCGCGGCCCGCAGGCACCTGAACGCTCCATGAAACAAATCCCTAAAGGGCGGGAATTACTTTAAAACCGCATCCTAGCACCTGAATCCCAACGTATCGCTATAGGGCGTGAATTACTTTAAAAGCCATCTGGTCAAAGATTGTGATTTGGCATGACTGTGGTTGATATTGTGATTTATAGATTTTTTGATTTTACGCTAATATTAATTCCACGGGAATCGGACATCAAAATTAAAACGTGATAATCTGTAAAAAAAGTATCATTTAATAAGATATTGCGATTTCGAAGATTCATTTAAAAATTGCGACGTAATTACCAATGGATTTGATCTAAAAACAGCTGTCTTGAAAAGAATGCATTTCACGATTTCATCGGATATAGTATTAAATGCAGCAGCAAATAACGACCCGCCTTAAAACTCCTGTTAAATTCGACGATAACGTTACAGTCGTAGTTTTTTTAAGCGAGCGATAATTATTATAATTAGTAAATGGGGGCATGATACTTCTAATACGCTCGATTTGACATAAAATGCTAATGTAGTTGAGTCGTTTCAGTAGTTCGATTTGCATGCGTGAAATAACTACTCTTTAATACTTACGTCTTAAATGGTGATTTTTAAATGGTTATTTTAAATTATCTAAATGAAGCAATGCGAAATGTATATTAGATATTCCCTAGTAATACATGTTAACTGTGATGTTGCATTATTTTAAACATATCTACTTGATACAAATAGTAAAAGTGCAGTGAAATATTTATGATAATATATATTTGTTCCAACAAATTATGTCATAAGTTATCGATTAATTACATTGTAGTTGAGTCGAAAATGAAATAAAAATCTGTAATTATAACCCGCGCGTAAAGATACGGAAAAATAAAACCCGAATGAAAGCGACGCATTTCTCCGTGGATTGAGCAGCCCTGCCTTAAACTATCTCCGTTGCGTACACGCACACCACAATATAAGCATGCCGCTCACGCACACACCGCAGCTACGGTAGGCCTACAGACCTACAAATGGTACTTTCACCATAAAAGACCTCTATCATTTTAAGCATAAGCTCGATAATTGCTCACCTCAGCCGCAACAGTCTCTTTGCCAATCAGCTGGTAAGTGGGACACTCCAATGATTTTCTTCATGGGCCCCACTCAGGGTCTCGCAAGGTCCTCCTTAGCGATAACTTGAGGCTTCGGTACCTTATTTCTGATGCTACGGTTACTTTAGGAGCTCACGATTATTAATTATAAAGCTGAATATGTTCCTACATGCATTACCTCCGTAAGTCACTGGCTGTATTGCGGCTTTAAAACTTTTTTGTTTCAATTCACGTTATGACTTGCGTGTTTTCTGTCATATGGAAATATGAGTAGAAAGTACTTCAACGGGTTAATCACTTTTAAGATTATGTGAGAAAGTTTCTCTTCTTTATGTTTCAATTACGAGCAAAATAGAATGGCATTTCTGAGGTTTCACAACGTAATGAAGTTAAGCTTGATTAAGGCGTTTAGAGAAGTTAATCAGTTTAATTGTGCATTAATTCCTGCTCACTTTAAGCTGAAAAGCGGGAGAAACTTTTTTTATAATTGGTATCATTGAAAAAAAAATATCGAATTCTATTTGTAGGAATTTATTTTTAAATTTAATATGCATGTTTGCTTCTCAGTAATTTTAATTGAATGTATTAATTAAAAAAACAAAATTGCTCATAATAACACACAATAACTCAAATGGATGTTTAGATTTACATAGAATTTCAATGAACCTTTAGGTAAGTAACATCTGGTTCCTCGAAATTTAATCCTTTGTGCTCGAACTTACTAGGTATGTGTAAAATGTCCCAAAAACCAGTTGCTATCCTGACTTAACCGGAGCCCCCAACAAAGCTCCACACAGCGTCCGCGTGTAACGCAGCAAACAACAAGCTTTACTGCTATGGGTTTACGGTCGAGTATAGCTTGAAACAAGAACGCGGTGGACGGGGAGTTTGCGTCGCCTGGCGTACGATAATATGTGGCGTTCGGAGTTGTGAAGAGCATAATTTCGGCGTCACAGCCGTTCAGTACCGTTGCGTACGCTGCTCGTATCTGTTAAGGCGGAGCTCTTCCAAACTAATCCAATCGCAACTCTCACTGTTAAGGAACCGATCGAGGGATGTTCGACATGTGTTCGCGTCGAGAACTTTATGATGTCTTAAAATGCACTTGTGAAATTAGGAAAAGTAAACAATGTAAACAATATAAAACAAATGCCTTATGATAAATGTGCATAAATAAATAATAAACATCTTAGGACACTTTTTTACACAACGTTCTTTAATACCAAACTGATAAATGTTTGCATCATAGGTACTACATAACTTATAAACATACTTAAACATACTTTTCTTTGGTAAATAAGTACATATTATAAATATTATAAACACCCAGGCACTGGAAAAACGCTATATTCATCACACAATATTTTTCTAGTAGTGGGGGATCGAACCCATATCTTCTGGCAGGTTCACCACCAACTACGCCAATTAGGTCGTTGACTACCCGATAGTTCCCTTTTTTAATTTTCATCTAAAGATAATAAAAAAAACCTTTTAGAGATGCATAATGTTATTAGAAAAATACATGAAATTATTAATTTACCACATCACTAGTTTATTGATCAACAGATAAGTAAGCAGCATTAAATCTACTTCATTTTTGCTAAGCCATTTCAACGAACAAAGTTTTCCGATATATGTTAATCCATACTAACATTACAAATAGGAAAGTAACTCTGTCTGTCTCGCTTTCACACCAAAATTACTTAACCGATATAAATGAAATTTGGTACACAAGGACATAGGCTATTTTTTATTGGAAAAATGTGTTGTAAAAGTTTTAAAATATCTTTCTTTAAAAAAATACACATAGTTTTTAAAGAAAGATATATCTTTAAGGGAAGTCCTTAAAGATATATACACGAGCGAAGCCGCGGCGGAAAAGCTAGTATATAATAATTTCGATCATCAAATATTGTAATAACCAATATTCTAACGTCTAATCTGGGCCTTAACATTAGTCTATTCCGCGTGCGTCGGCGCGCAGGTTATGCTGATTTCGTTCCTAATTACGGGGCTCTAATTGTGCTCAAATTTACCCATCTGCCATTTATACCATTTTATGTTTTTGCACCAATTCGGGGGCAATAGCCGTCGTTTGACGAATTCTATGCTGATAACAACTGCGGCTGTCAAAGTTAAATATTTAATTCCTGAATAATTTTACAACTAAATATAGAATAATTTAATGTAAAATTCGATAAGACAATGTAATCGTACCGGTTTGCTTTTTCTAATCTAGATTTTTTATTATCTGTCGTCTAGTAAACCTCTTTTAACCATATGAGTGTTAAAATATCTTCAGATACCTATAAATTGCGAAAGATGATTTCTTATGTTATTATCACACATCGTTGCAACGGTACAGCGTTTATTCTACCAGTGAGAACGCTTCACGGAGATTATAAAGTCCAAAACACATGGTGAATCTTCGTCAATTGGGCAAATTTTAAGACAATTAATGAGGACTCCGTGGACTACCAAGGTATTTGCTTTAGCGTCGGGGATCGTGGGTTCGTTTCCACACGGGACAACTATTTGTGTGACCCAAAAATAATTGTTTCGCTTCAGGGTGTTTGTCTTTCATTGGGAATAAAAAACCATGTCCAGAACAATTGTTTGCGTATTCATACGAATGTTTATCCAGTGTGGGAATCGAACCCGCAACCCTCGGCGGGGCCAATAACTTAGATACTGCGCCCGAGTAATAGATCTCAAACATGAACTCATGAATAGGCATTAGCTCACTGAATATTCAATTTACGCTTAATCTTTTTATGTTTCTGAACATTTACCTATAAATAGCTTCTTTAAATTATTATAATTGATGTATCCCGTAATAGTATTGTTACATTAGTTAATCGAATCGACGCGATATCAGCATGCCGCGAGAATACAATGAGCTATATCTAACACCACTGCCGTTGATAACGTGAGTCATTTGCCCAATTACGACTCACAGATGTGTTTAGTCAGAATGACAGATGATTAGTTAGGTAGAAAGTTTTTTTTTAAGAATATACAGTGTATTGATCTAATATTTACAAGATTAAATCTATTAAAAAGTCAATTTCTATTCGAATTGGACTTTCGACCATTTTTACGACGTTATTAGGGTTCCAATGCCAAAGGGTAAAACGGGACCCTATTACTAAGATTCCGCCGTCTATCTGTGTGTTCATCTGTCACCAGGCAGTATCTCATGAACCGTTAGTTAGACAGTTGAAATTTTCACAAATGATGTATTTGGTTGCTTTTGCGGCTACCGCTATTAACAGCAAATACTAAAAAATATTTAAGCGGGTCTCCCAAACAACAGGCATTATTGTTTTTGCCATTATTATAGAGTATAATGGTACGGAACCCTTCGTGTGTCAGTCCGACTTGCACTTGGCCAGTTTTTAATGAGTATTCCACATTGAACATTCAATTTTCCCGTCGTGATTTTCTTCTGGCCGCGCTCGACTTGAAATAAGCCAATGTAAATGTAACGGGAATGTTTGTGATCGCATCAATGAATTTTTATGTTGTTATCGCATTGAAAAACACTGCACCGACGAACGGCCTACCTTTCTATAACTGTCAGAGAAACCAAAGGGCACCCATCATTTGTAGCGAAATTGTATTAAAGCTAAGTATTGAATTGTATACCTATACGTCATTAGTTCATTTTGGTGACAAGAGAGCTAGTTCTTTTCTCGCTCAAAGGTTAAGAATAACTATTCATCGAGGAAATGCAGCTAGCATATCATTTCATTTCCGCACCATGCCGCGTGGATTAGGTTTATTGGATAATATGTAATTTTAGAAAGATTTAATGTCGTAACTGTTGGATAAATAAATAGTTTTAAACATTTTGATGTGGAACAATTCCCCAAATTCTGCTCGTCTATTTCTAATATTATTATTATTCCAGAGAATGAATTTTAATTTAGAGAAAACGGTTTTCAATCATTGAATCGATCAATCCTTGTAAATCCAAACACGAAAGTCAAAATACTCTTACATAAGATTGGCAGTGTATGTTACGGATAGTTTTGCACATAAACTCATTTTATTACTACTTAATTGATATAAAATGCATGCAATATATAAGCATTATTAATTAATCACTAAGACATTATACTTCTTTAGCGTCACAAAAGAACAATAACTAATAAATAAAAATCCCATATGCCAGTACTCTATTTTATGAAAAAGACATTAAATACAAAGGTTTCATTAAATAACTTGGAATTATGTCCAAATTGTTATTACTTAGCAAAGTAATAACGTGTAGCGGTCACTTTACAACCAACTTTATCAAATGCGAAAGTTTGTATGTATGGATGGATGTTTGTTACTCTTTCACGCAAATAGTACGGAACGGATTTTAGTGAAATTTTACAATAATATAGCTTATACATCAGAATACAATCAATAGACTATAATTTATATACACATTTTATATATATATCTATCTTTCTCTCTGAATGTTACGCCTTCAGCCTATTCTACGCAGACGTAGTCGCGGGCAGCAGCTAGTAATTAATAAAACTAAATATTGGGCTACAGGTCGTCGATGGCATTCAGTAGTAATATTTTTATGGATGCAGGTGGATCAGGATCGTACTTTGTGGTAGTCTATAATTTCCCTAAGTTTCGACCCCCCTCCAGTGTTCATGGTCACGTCACAGACCGTATAGTAACTTATACATACTGGGACAGACAGAGTTATTTCAGGCGAAAAATCCTTAAAATTGTTTCATTTCACAATTTATAATATCCGCGTAAACACAAACAAATCGATATTCCATAACTGTAGTTACAATTCATACGTGTGTTGTAAGCAGTTATTGTATCTGTAATATAACCTTCAATTAATGATTTCTTTCCTTCATGTTTAATAAATATTACCTCGGTAAAACACTTTCCTTTTATAATATTGTACGTAAAAGGGTCGGCAGCTGTAGCTCCGTTGGGTTCAAACAGCGTAAAGTCTAGAAATGGAAAGGTTTCATAGTAACTGGCATAAAGAAACTTATATCATCACAATCTAAGGTTAGCGTCTTAAATCAAATTCAGTACAGTCAAGTAGCAAATTTGCACAAGATTCGGCTCTCGAAATTCCTTAACTGAGACTTAGTTTTCGACGCTACTTTTTTTTTAATCTACCCCACTCACCATCGTCATCCTCCTTCCCTTATCCCACTTAGGTGGGGTCGGCAAAACATGTGAATAATGTTGTAAGCGGCTTTGGCTATATTCTTTACGAGGGGCCGCCTGCCTGACGTCAACCCACCTTAGGAAACAAACACCCAGATCAGGAACATTTATCTTTAGGTCACACAAACCCTTGTCCCGTGTGGGAATCGAACCCACGACCCCCGAAGCGAATAGTTTAGCAACGGCGCCACCGAGTCAAATTTTAATCTTCAATACTATTTTATGATATTCCTTATATTGATAATTTTAAGTAAACCCTCTAGCTTACTAAGGTACAAAATACAAATTCTGACATAATAAGATATAATAGGTCCTTACGCATATGGTAAAGAGATTTCTCCAATCTTGCGTAGCATTAAACGTAATCAATAACTTTAAACAGTAAGACTTACATGTACTTTGCAAGGAAAAATTGAGTTGAGAAAGTCCAAAAGACAACTGCGACCTAGATGATCTACTCATGTTGTGGTCTTACCTTTTTACATACGTAAATATCACGTGAACAAACACCAAGATACGAAACAATTATGGGTGGGTCAAAAAAGTACTCTCGTGTGTAAATGGATCCCACGACCAAAGGCACCGAAACCCATACCTTGGCAACTGTGCCATGAAGTCATCAATTAAATGTGATTCAAGCCTTCAATAGGATCAATTGCGGACGAGTCAATATGTATGAAATAAGTTCTAAAAATTACAGTTCATCAATGCAGCATTAGTGCCAATGAGATAAGAATCTCCAACTCGGATGACAAGCATTGGCATTCGGATCATAAATTGGTCTTCGTGTGAAAGCTTTCACTTCTCAAAATTGTAGTGCTGAATACAGTGATATACTAATATTACTATGAGCTCGGTGCCAAACGTATCAAGGAATGTACTCACCCACATAA